GTATTTTATGCACGTTACGATTGTCAGCGGCACGGCAGCGAACGAGCAATTATCTCCCTTTCTTTGGGCCGGTATAGACCCGAACACAATACACAGCTGTGCTTGCCTTGAAATCTGTAATGTTCCCGATTTAATTACATTAATATTTCAATGAAACTCAAAACCGCCGGGGAAGGAGGGAGATGTATGTTTTCGCAGTAAGCGTGGTTAAGTGAAAGCAATTTGTAGACCAGAAGATTGTTTGGCTGCTAAGTAAAGCTTTCAGTGAAAACGTTTGTGATAAAAAAAAATGTGTTTGCTGCTCGCGGTGCCCATCAGACTGTAATGATCGCTTACACTTTGACAACAGAGAACATTTTTAAAACCCTCGTTAAGGGTCATTGACCAGTAGAGTGGGCAAAATGTTTGTGGACACTTCTGGGAAGGCTTTCTACAAGTCTTTGTGGACACTTGACCATCACATCTATGTGAGCTTGTAGGCCATCTTGTCCCAAGACCATGACTATAAATATGGAGTTGCCCCTCTTCCCCCCCCCCATGTCCATTAATATTAAGTTGCCCCCCTCATTGTGACTATAACAGACTCCGCTCTTCTGGGAAGGCTTTCCACAAGGCTTTGTGGACACCTGACCATCACATCTGTTTGAGCTCGTAGGTCACCTTGTCCCAAGACCATGGCTATAAATATGGAGTTGCCCCTCTTCCCCCCCATGGCCATTAATATTGAGTTGACTCCCATTGTGGCTATAACAGCCTTCACTCTTCTGGGAAGGATTACCACAAGGCTTTGCAGACACCGGACCATCACATCTATGTGAGCTTGTAGGCTATCTTGTCACAAGACCATGGCTATAAATATGGAGTATCCCTCTTCCCCCCCATGGCCTTAATATTGAGTTGACTCCCATTGTGGCTAAAAACAGCCTTCACTCTACTGGGAAGGATTTCCACAAGGCTTTGTGGACACCTGACCAGCTTGTCCCAAGACCATGGTCATAAATAGGGAGTTGCCCCTCTTCCACCCATGACCATTAATATTGAGTTGACTCCCATTGTGGCTTTAAGAGACTCCCGCTCTTCTGGGAAGGCTTTCCACAGGTCTTTGTGGACACTCGACCATCACATCTATGTGAGCTTGTAGGCCATCTTGTCCCAAGACCATGGCCATAAATATGGAGTATCCCTCTGCCCCCCCATGGCCATTAATATTGAATTGCCCCCCATTGTGGCTATAACAGCCTTCACTCTTCTGGGAAGGAATTCCACAAGGCTTTGTGGACACCTGATCATCTTTGTCCCAAGACCATGGCCATAAATATGGAGTTGCCCCTCTTCCCCCCCCATGTCCATTAATATTAAGTTGCCCCCCTCATTGTGACTATAACAGACTCCGCTCTTCTGGGAAGGCTTTCCACAAGGCTTTGTGGACACCTGACCATCACATCTGTTTGAGCTCGTAGGTCACCTTGTCCCAAGACCATGGCTATAAATATGGAGTTGCCCCTCTTCCCCCCCATGGCCATTAATATTGAGTTGACTCCCATTGTGGCTATAACAGCCTTCACTCTTCTGGGAAGGATTACCACAAGGCTTTGCAGACACCGGACCATCACATCTATGTGAGCTTGTAGGCTATCTTGTCACAAGACCATGGCTATAAATATGGAGTATCCCTCTTCCCCCCCATGGCCTTAATATTGAGTTGACTCCCATTGTGGCTAAAAAACAGCCTTCACTCTACTGGGAAGGATTTCCACAAGGCTTTGTGGACACCTGACCAGCTTGTCCCAAGACCATGGTCATAAATAGGGAGTTGCCCCTCTTCCACCCATGACCATTAATGTTGAGTTGACTCCCATTGTGACTATAACAGCCTTCACTCTTCTGGGATGGCTTTCCACAAGGCTTTGAGGACACCCGACCATCACATCTGTATGAGCTTGTAGGCCATCTTGTCCCAAGACCATGACCATTGATATGGAGTATCCCTCTTCCCCCCCATGGCCATTAATATTGAGTTGCCCCCCATTGTGACTATAACAGACTCCGCTTTTCTAGGAAGGCTTTCCACAAGGTTTTGCGGACACCCGACCATCACATCTATGTGAGCTTGTAGGCCATCTTGTCCCAAGACCATGGCCATAAATATGCCCTTCTTCTACCTATGACCATTAATATTGTGTTCACTCCCATTGTTGCTATAACAGCCTTCACTCTTCTGGGAAGGATTTCCACAAGGCTTTACAGACACCTGACCATCACATCTATCTGAGCTTGTAGGCCATCTTGTCACAAGACCATGGCCATTAATATGGAGTATCCCTCTTCCCACTCATGGTCATTAATATGGAGTTGCCCCCCATTGTGACTATAACAGCCTTCACTCTTCTGGGAAGGCTTTCCACAAGGCTTTATGGACACCCGACCATCACATCTGTATGAGCTTGTGGGCCATCTTGTCCCAAGACCATGACCATTAATATTGAGTTGCCCCCTTTGTGGCTATACCAATCTCCACTCTTCTGGGAGACTTCCCACAAGGTTTTGGTGAGATGGTAACATTGGACGTTGGTGTTCCAGTTTGTCCCAAAGGTTCAGGAGGGTTGAGGTGAGGGCTCTTGTATATACTATTCCAAAACCATAGCCATAAATATCGAACTGTCCTCCTTTGTAGCTACAACATCATCCACTCTTCTGGAAAGTCTTTCTACAAGATTTGCAGTGGCTCTGCACTCACAGTATATCCTCAGTCTTCTAGGTTGAATGATGCTGGGTGCCACGCAGGTCTCCTGCAGACCTGTCAGTATACATCAGAGTTTCCATCGTAAACATGATGAATGACACCTGGGACAGCTTGACCGAGACTCCCTGCATTCACAGTAAGTCCTCAGTCTTCTCGGTTGAATGGTGCTGGGTGCCACGCAGTCCTCCAGCAGACCAGTCAGTATACATACATGATGAATGACACCTAGGACAGCTTGACGGAGACTCCCTGCACTCACAGTATGTCCTCAGTCTTCTAGGTTGAATGATGCTGGGTGCCACGCAGGTCTCCTGCAGACCAGTCAGAATACATACATGATGACTGACACCTCGGACAGCTTGACTGACACTCCCTGCACTCACAGTATGTCCTCAGTCCTCTAGGTTGAATGATGCTGGGTGCCACGCAGGTCTCCTGCAGACCAGTCAGTATACATACATGATGAATGACACCTAGGACAGCTTCACCAAGACTCCCTGCACTCACAGTATGTCCTCAGTCTTCTAGGTTGAATGATGCTGGGTGCCATGCAGGTCTCCTGCACACCTGTCAGTATACATACAGGATGACTGACACCTCGGACAGCTTGACCGAGACTCCCTGCACTCACAGTATGTCCTCAGTCTTCCAGGTTGAATGATGCTGGGTGCCACGCAGGTCTCCTGCAGACCTGTCAGTATACATACATGATGAATGACACCTCGGACAGCTTGGCCGAGACTCCCTGCACTCACAGTATGTCCTCAGTCTTCCAGACCGGGTTACATTCAGCTTGGAATACTGAGGACACCTTCTGGCTCAAATCAAGTACTGCGGCCATAACCCTGCAGGGTTTTGTAACCAATGCTGGGAATTGGGCTTTAATTCCGCCACCCCCGTCCAAGGTGTCATCCATCATCTTGAATCCCTGACAGCGGGGGGGGGGGCAGGACTCTGAAAATCGATTCCTCGGTGCCGCCGGCGGTGGATCACAGAGGCTTCCAGCCATAAAACAACAACATGACAGTTTATTAAGCGAGGCCCATAGACTGCCTAATGGACCGACTGATTCGGCCCCGCGCTCCGACCGCGCGGTTTTGGAGGTTAAGCGCTGACTCGTCTTCCCTCGCAAATTCGCTGCCAGAATTTCAGCGATTATTTTTTCAGCCTCTTCCTGTCTTCTAATATTCAACTTCTGTAATAAACACAATTTTTCTCCGGCAAAAAAAAAAGAAAAAAAAAACACCCAGGACGCAGCAAAAAAAAAAAAAACAGATAATGCGCCGGGAGTCGTCCTGGAACGCCGCGGACTTAACCCTTCGCTCTGATTGGTTGGATTAAGAAAGAGGTATCATTTTTTTTCTTTTTTATTCTTTTTATGGACGTGGCTCAGCTGGAATTCGCATTATCCGAAGGATGGAGAATGTTCTGCAGTCTTAAAATGGAAAGTGTAAGTACCACCCCCCTCCCCCGCCCCCGATACCAAGGGGGGGGGCGGCCTCCGTCCACAAATGCGATCGTCGTTAGTCTTGTTAGGGCCAATTAGGGATTTGATTTTCTACGCCGGAGATAGAGATCCAGGAACTGCCGGGCAGGTTGGACTCAACTGTCCTTTATTCTCCCTGTAGAAGGAAACATCTTATAGAAGATTTTGTTTTTATACCCAGCGATACATTGTGTCCCGACACGCGTGTTCTGTATCCTTCTTCCGTCCTCACTCCGTGTGTCATCAACAATTAGAGGAGGAATACACTATATGTCAGAAAGTATTGGCCCCGCCCTCCATATCATGTGATTCAGGTGTCCCAATCCCCTCCGTATCATGTGATTCAGGTGTTCCAATCCCCTCCCAATCATGTGATTCAGGTGTCCCAGTCATGTGATTCAGGTGTTCCAATCCCCTCCCAATCATGTGATTCAGGTGTCCCAATCCCCTCCCTATCATGTCATTCAGGGGTTCCAATCCCCTCCCAATCATAGGATTCAGGTGTCCCAGTCATGTGATTCAGGTGTCCCAATCCCCTCCCAATCATGTGATTCAGGTGTTCCAATCCCCTCCGTATCATGTGATTCAGGTGTTCCAATCCCCCCAATCATGTGATTCAGGTGTCCCAATCCCCTCCCAATCATGTGATTCAGGTGTTCCAATCCCCTCCATATCATGTGATTCAAGTGTTCCAATCCCCTCCCAATCATGTGATTCAGGTGTTCCAATCCCCTCCCAATCATGTGATTCAGGTGTCCCAGTCATGTGATTCAGGTGTTCTAAGCCCCTCCATATCATGTGATTCAGGTGTTCCAATCCCCTCCGTATCATGTGATTCAGGTGTTCCAATCCCCTCCCAATCATGTGATTCAGGTGTTCCAATCCCCTCCCAATCATGTGATTCAGGGGTTCCAATCCCCTCCCAATCATGCGATTCAGGTGTCCCAGTCATGTGATTCAGGTGTTCCAATCCCCTCCGTATCATGTGATTCAGGTGTTCCAATCCCCTCCCAATCATGTGATTCAGGTGTCCCAATCCCCTCCCTATCATGTGATTCAGGTGTCCCAATCCCCTCCCTATCATGTGATTCAGGTGTCCCAATCCCCTCCCTATCATGTAATTCAGGTGTCCCAATCCCCTCCTTATCATGTATTTCAGGTGTTCCAATCCCCTCCCTATCATGTGATTCAGGGGTTCCAATCCCCTCCCAATCATGCGGTTCAGGTGTCCCAGTCATGTGATTCAGGTGTTCCAATCCCCTGTAGTCCACAGTACAGTCTACGATGGTACAGTCCACAGCCTGGACTGAAGTATAGTATTCCCTTTCGCTCCTCCCTTGATGGCTACTTAAAGGTTATGCAGGGAGGGGCAAAAGAGCTGGGCCAGCACTGACAATGATTAGATTCTCCTAAAAGAATGGGAGGGCTATAACTTGCGAGGGGGAAGGGGGTGGAGCTAGGGAATTGACTCTTCCTGGTGCAGTCACATTTTCTAGCAATGTCAGAGACGCTTTGCGAATGAATTCAAAATGATGGAAAGGAAGAACTGAAAATACTTGATTTTCCTTGAAGTTCTCTGCAAAGGTGCAATGGGGTCAGGGGCACTGCCCGAGGGCCCAGGGTCAGTAGGGGGCCCCATGAGATGCCCCTGGTACCTTTTTATAGGTTTTTTTTGGGTGTGTTTTGAGTGTGGGTGAGGACACAGGGGCCCCATGAACCCCTATTGCCCGGGGGCCCCATGAGTTGTCAATACGCCCCTGGATGGGGTTCAAATATTTCCCAAGGAATACCGAAGCTCCTTTCACCTGTCCTATACCTGGTCTTGTGCCAAAAATTGGCCCCTTATTACCCCCCCCTCCATTCACGTATCGTCCTCCCGGGAATCCATTCACGTATCGTCCTCCCGGGAATCCATTCACGTATCGTCCTCCCGGAATCCATTCACATATCGTCCTCCCAGGAATCCATTCACGTATCGTCCTCCCAGGAATCCATTCACGTATCGTCCTCCCAGGAATCCATTCACATATCGTCCTTCTCAGGAATCCATTCACGTATCGTCCTCCCGGGAATCCATTCACGTATCGTCTTCTCAGGAATCCATTCACGTATCGTCCTCCCGGGAATCCATTCACGTATCATCCTCTTCCATTCACGTATCGTCTTCCGGGAATCCATTCACGTATCGTCCTCTCAGGAATCCATTCACGTATCGTCCTCCCGGGATCCATTCACGTATCGTCCTTCTCAGGAATCCATTCACGTATCGTCCTCCAAGGAATCCATTCACGTATCGTCCTCCCGGGAATCCATTCACCTATCGTCTCCCGGGAATCCATTCACGTATCGTCCTCCCAGGAATCCATTCACGTATCGTCCTCCCAGGAATCCATTCACGTATCGTCCTCCCAGGAATCCATTCACATATCGTCCTCCCAGGAAATCCATTCACGTATCGTCCTCCCAGGAATCCATTCACGTATCACGTATCGTCCTCCCAGGAATCCATTCACGTATCGTCCTCCCAGGGAATCCATTCACGTATCGTCCTCCCGGGAATCCATTCACGTATCGTCCTCCCGGAATCCATTCACGTATCGTCCTCCCGGGAATCCATTCACGTATCGTCCTCCCGGGAATCCATTCACGTATCGTCCTCCCGGGAATCCATTCACGTATCGTCCTCCCGGGAATCCATTCACGTATCGTCCTCCCGGAATCCATTCACGTATCGTCCTCCCAGGAATCCATTCACGTATCGTCCTCCCAGAATCCATTCACGTATCGTCCTCCCAGGAATCCATTCACGTATCGTCCTCCCAGGAATCCATTCACGTATCGTCCTCCCGGAATCCATTCACGTATCGTCCTCCCAGGAATCCATTCACGTATCGTCCTCCCGGGAATCCATTCACGTATCGTCCTCCCGGGAATCCATTCACGTATCGTCCTCCCAGGAATCCATTCACGTATCGTCCTCTCAGGAATCCATTCACGTATCGTCCTCCCGGGAATCCATTCACGTATCGTCCTCCCAGGAATCCATTCCATTCACGTATCGTCCTCCCAGGAATCCATTCACGTATCGTCCTCCTCCAGGAATCCATTCACGTATCGTCCTCCCAGGAATCCATTCACGTATCGTCCTCCCCAGGAATCCATTCACGTACGTATCGTCCTCCCGGGAATCCATTCACGTATCGTCCACGTATCCCGGGAATCCATTCACGTATCGTCCTCCCAGGAATCCATTCACGTATCGTCCTCCCCCGGGAATCCATTCACGTATCGTCCTCCCAGGAATCCATTCACGTATCGTCCTCCCAGGAATCCATTCACGTATCGTCCTCCCAGGAATCCATTCACGTATCGTCCTCCCAGGAATCCATTCACGTATCGTCCTCCCAGGAATCCATTCACGTATCGTCCTCCCAGGAATCCATTCACGTATCGTCCTCCCGGAATTCCATTCACGTATCGTCCTCCAGGAATCCATTCACGTATCGTCCTCCCAGGAATCCATTCACGTATCGTCCTCCCGGGGAATCCATTCACGTATCGTCCTCCCAGGAATCCATTCACGTATCGTCCTCCCAGGAATCCATTCACGTATCGTCCTCCCGGGAATCCATTCACGTATCGTCCTCCCCAGGAATCCGGGCGTCACGTATCGTCCTCCCGGAATCCATTCACGTATCGTCCTCCCGGGAATCCATTCACGTATCGTCCTCCCAGGGAATCCATTCACGTATCGTTCCTCCTCAGGAATCCATTCACGTATCGTCTTCTCAGGAATCCATTCACGTATCGTCCTCCCAGGGAATCCATTCACGTATCGTCCTCCCGGAATCCATTCACGTATCGTCCTCTCAGGAAATCCATTCACGTATCGTCCTCCCGGGAATCCATTCACGTATCGTCCTCCCGGGAATCCATTCACGTATCGTCCTCCCGGGAATCCATTCACGTATCGTCTCACCAGGAATCCATTCACGTATCGTCCTCCCAGGAATCCATTCACGTATCGTCCTCCCAGGAATCCATTCACGTATCGTCCTCCCAGGAATCCATTCACGTATCGTCCTCCCAGGAATCCATTCACGTATCGTCCTCCCAGGAATCCATTCACGTATCGTCTTCCTCCAGGAATCCATTCACGTATCGTCCTCCCAGGAATCCATTCACGTATCGTCCTCCCGGGAATCCATTCACGTATCGTCCTCCCGGGAATCCATTCACGTATCGTCCTCCCGGGAATCCATTCACGTATCGTCCTCCCGGGAATCCATTCACGTATCGTCCTCCCGGAATCCATTCACGTATCGTCCTCCCAGGAATCCATTCACAGTATCGTCCTCCCAGGAATCCATTCACGTATCGTCTTCCAGGAATCCATTCACGTATCGTCCTCCCAGGAATCCATTCACATTCACGAATCCATTCCTCCCTCCCGGAATCCATTCACGTATCGTCCTCCCAGGAATCCATTCACGTATCGTCCTCCCAGGAATCCATTCACATATCGTCCTCCCAGGAATCCATTCACGTATCGTCCTCCCAGGAATCCATTCACGTATCGTCCTCCCAGGAATCCATTCACGTATCGTCCTCCCAGGAATCCATTCACAGTATCGTCCTCCCTCCATTCACATATCGTCCTCCAGGAATCCATTCACGTATCGTCCTCCCAGGAATCCATTCACGTATCGTCCTATCGTCCCCGGGAATCCATTCACGTATCGTCCTCCCAGGAATCCATTCACGTATCGTCGTCCTCGGGAATCCATTCACGTATCGTCCTCCCCGGGGAATCCATTCACGTATCGTCCTCCCAGGAATCCATTCACGTATCGTCCTCCCGGAATCCATTCACGTATCGTCCTCCCGGAATCCATTCACGTATCGTCCTCCCGGGAATCCATTCACGTATCGTCCTCCCGGGAATCCATTCACGTATCGTCCTCCCGGGAATCCATTCACGTATCGTCCTCCCGGGAATCCATTCACGTATCGTCCTCCCAGGAATCCATTCACGTATCGTCCTCCCAGGAATCCATTCACGTATCGTCCTCCCAGGAATCCATTCACGTATCGTCCTCCCGGGAATCCATTCACGTATCGTCCTCCCAGGAATCCATTCACGTATCGTCCTCCCGGGAATCCATTCACGTATCACAGTCTGACGGAATCCATCAGATCGTGCTGCTGGGTGGGAGGCCAGGATTGGTGATATTATCTACAGTACAGGGGCGGACTGACCATTTGGAAACTCGGGCACTGCCCGAGGGCCCGGGTCAGTAGGGGGCCCCATGAGATGCCCCTGGTACCTTTTTCATAGGCTTTTTTGAGTTTGGGCAAGGACACAGGGGCCCATGATCCCCTATTGCCTGGGGGACCCATGAGTTGTCAGTCCGCCCCTGGTACAGTATATCATCGGGATTGGTGGGCTGACCGTGACTCTGGTCTCCCGGGGGTTGGGGTGTTCTCGCTCATCTTTGTGTGTTCCAGTCTTGCCCGATATGTTTCTTGTGGTGTGTAAAGTGAAGAAAAGCCCAGCAGGGATGGTGGGAACCCCTTGTAATGGGCACAGCGAGTGTACAGACCTGAGAACTCAGCACAGTGATGGTGGGAACCCTTCATAATGGGCACAGCAGACCCGGGAACATTGTGCAAGGATGGAGGGATCCCCTTGTAATGGGCATAAAAGGTGTGCAAGACTAGGAAGTCAGCACCAAGATGGTGGGAACCAGGGGCGGACTGACCATTTGGAAACTCGGGGCACTGCCCGAGGGCCCGGGGTCAGTAGGGGGCCCCATAAGATGCCCCTGGTACCTTTTTCATTGGCTTTTTTGAGTTTGGTCAAGGACACAGGAGCCCCATGATCCCCTATTGCTTGGGGGCCCCATGAGTTGTCAGTCTGCCCCTGGTGGGAACCCCTCATAATGGGCACAGCAGGTGTGCAGACCGGGAAGTCAGCACAAGGATGGTGGGAACCCCTCATAATGGGCACAGCGGGTGTACAGACCCAAGAACTCAGCACAGGAATGGGGCAGGAACCCCTCCTAATGGGCACAGCAGGTGTACAGACCGGAAACTCAGCACAGGGATGGTGCGAACTCCTCATAATGGTCACAGCAGGTGTGTAAGGCTAAGAACTGCCGAGATGGTGAGGACCCTTCATAACATACATGTGCACAGGTCCAGAAACTCAGAGCAGGGATGGAGACAGCTCTTCATAATGGTCATTGCAGATGTGCAGGTTCAGGAACTCAGCATAGGGGTGTCAGGAACCCCTCATAATGGGCGCAGCAGATGTGCAGGTCCAGGAACTCAGCATAGGGGTGTCAGGAACCCCTCATAATGGGCGCAGCAGATGTGCAGGTCCAGGAACTCGGCATAGGGGTGTCAGGAACCCAACATAATGGGCGCAGCAGGTGTGCAGGTCTAGGAGCTCTGCAGTGATGGTGGGAATGCCTCATAATGGGTGCAGCAGGTGTACAGACCCCGGGAACTCGGCACAGCGATGGCGGGAACCCTCATAATGGGCACAGCAGGTATGTAGACCTGGAAACTGGGTGGTTTAGTTCTCTATCAGCCACCAAAAACTCAAAGGCCTTTCCCAGAAATAGGTCATTGCGGACAAGGAGCCCCAGTAGGTTTTAAGAAACTGAAACGTTGCATTACATTTATCGTAGGCCATTTGGACCCCCATTGGACATCCGGCCTCAAAAAAAAAAAAAAAACCCAGTTAGCAACCCCTAATTCCATCCTGCACTTTCCTATATGGCCAAACCACCTCTGAACCTTTGAATTTGGCTCTATCACTAGAAATATTTGTAATACAGAACATTATGTATGGCCCACTGGGGATGTCAAGGCCCTCAACATGAGGTCTCCTCAAGACAATTGACCAACACTAATTTTGAGCCTTTTCCAAATATAGCCAAACCACCAACCTTTGAATTTGGCCCAATTACCAGAAATGTTTGCAGTACAGAACATTATGAATGGTCCACTGGGGATGTCAAGGACCCCAACATGAGGCCTCCTCTAGACAATTGACCAACACTAATTTTGACCCTTATTTGCAAACATTATGATGGCCAAAGCACCTCTGAACCTTTGAATTTGGCTCAATCATCAGAAATATTTTAAAATTTGTAATACAGAACATTATGTAATGACCATTATGTATGGCCCACTGGGGATCTCAAAGCCCCAACATGAGGCCTCCTCAAGACAATTGACCAACACTAATTTTGAGCCTTTTCCAAATATAGCCAAACCACTGAACCTTTGAATTTGGCACAATCACCAGAAATGTTTGCAGTACAGAACATTACGAATGGTCCACTGGGGATGTCAAGGACCCCAACATGAGGCCTCCTCTAGACAATTGACCAACACTAATTTTGACCCTTGTCCAAAGAAGGCCAAACCACCTCTGAACCTTTGAATTCGTCTCAATCACCAGAAATATTTGTAATACAGAACATTATGTGAGGCCCCCTGGGGAGTATGCGCCCGTGACCATTACGCCCCATACTCCAGGCCACCACTTGATATTGACTCCACAATGGCTTCTCTCTCAGCTTCTGAGAAGAGATCACTAACTGAACTGAACGGTGTAACAATAGAACTGTGCCGAAATTTATGGCATTACCCAAAACGATTCGATATCTTAGGTACTTTTCATTTACTGCCTGACTAAGTATGTACTTCTTCATGCTCAGCCCAAAAGATATTACTTGCGAAAAGCGGTTCCTCTTGTAATTTTACGAGGGCGGTTAGGACGGCAACAGTCCCGTAGGTTGTGATATTGGCTCCTTATTAGAGCTCGGTACAATGTCACAGTACGTAATAATAAAAACAAATGGGCGCCGAGCGTTTTACCACCGAAGAACCGGCGTCTTTATAGCAAGAGGTAGATGGTGCGTTATTGGGTTATAAATAACATAAACTTCAATAAAGGTTCCATCTCTATACGTAATCGTCAAATAACCCTTCCATGGCCTTCCTCTTTATCTTCGTTTTCCTGGACGAGACGCGTCTGACACTGTAAAACCCGATCTGTCATTGAGACGTAAAGGAGATCCTATCTTGTCTTCGGCAACGATCGCTCTTTTTTTTTTTACCCTCGGACGGCTCCTCTAACTTTATGGATGTATAAATTTTAGCCTCGTAACTTGAAGTTTGTTCTGGTGGCTTCACCTCCTCGGCGTTTAAGTCCCATCTCAGTAATAAACTCGTTTCCTGATGTTAATAGGATGAGCTCCGTGTTCTGTATTACAAATATTTCTGGTGATTGAGCCAAATTCAAAGGTTCAGAGGTGGTTTGGCCATTTCTTTGGATAAGGGTCAAAATTAATGATGGTCAATTGTCCATCTTGAGGAGGCCTCATGTTGGGGCCTTGAGATCCCCAGTGGGCCATACATAATGTTCTGTATTACAAAAATTTCTGGTTTGGCCATCTCTGGACAATGGTCAAAATTAAGTGTTGTTGGTCAATTGTCTAGAGGAGGCCTCATGTTGGGGGCCTTGACATCCCCAGTGGGCCATACATAATGTTCTGTATTACAAAAAATTCTGGTGATTGAGCCAAATTCAAAGGTTCAGAGGTGGTTTGGCCATCTTTGGGTAAGGGACAAAATTAATGATGGTCAATTGTCTAGAGGAGGCCTCATGTTGGGGGCCTTGAGATCCCCAGTGGGCCATACATAATGTTCTGTATTACAAAAATTTCTGGTGATTGAGCCAAATTCAAAGGTTCAGCGGTGGTTTGGCCATCTTTAGACAAGGGTCAAAATTAGGTTGGTCAAAATTAGAGGAGGCCTCATGTTGGGGCCTTGAATTCCAGTGGGTCTACATAACGTTCTGTATTACAAATATTTCTAGTGATTGAGCCTTCAAACGTTGGGTGGTTTTGGCCATCTTTGGACAAGGGTCAAAATTAATGACATCCCCAGTGGGTTTGGCCATCTCTGGACAAGGGTCAAAATTACCATATTGTCTAGAGGAGGCCTCATGTTTGGGATGTTGACATCCCCAGGTGGGCCATACATAGTGTTCTGTATTATAAATATTTTCTGGTGATTGAGCCAAATTCAAAGGTTCATAGGTGTTTGGCCATTTTTGGACAAGGGTCAAAATTAATGTTGGTCAATTGTCTAGAGGAGGCCTCATGTTGGGGGCCTTGACATCCCCAGTGGGCCATACATAGTGTTCTGTATTACAAATATTTCTGATGATTGAGCCAAATTCAAACGTTCAGCGGTGGTTTGGCCAATTTGGACAAGGGTCAAAATTAATGATGGTCAATTGTCTTGAGGAGGCCTCATGTTGGGGGCCTTGACATCCCCAGTGGGCCATTCATAATGTTCTGTACTGCAAACATTTCTGATGATTGGGCAAAATTCAAAGGTTGGGGTTTGGCCATCTTTGGACAATGGTCAAAATTAGTGTTGGTCAATTGTCTAGAGGGGCCCTCGTGTTGGGATCCTTGACATCCCCAGTGGGCCATACATAGTGTTCTGTATTACAAATATTTCTGGTGATTGAGCCAAATTCAAAGGTTCAGCGGTGGTTTTGCCATCTTTGGACAAGGGTCAAAATTAGTGTTGGTCAATTGTCTTGAGGAGGCCTCACGTTGGGGTCCTTGACATCCCCAGTGGACCATTCATAATGTTCTGTACTGCAAATATTTCTGGTGATTAGGCCAAATTCAAAGGTTGGTGGTTTGGCCATATTTGGACAAGGATCAAAATAAGTGTTGGTCAATCGTCTAGAGGAGCCCTCATGTTGGGGGCCTTGAGATCCCCAGTGGGCCATACATAATGTTCTGTATTACAAATATTTCTGGTGATTGAGCCAAATTCAAAGGTTTAGTGGTGGTTTGGCCATCTTTGGACAAGGGTCAAAATTAGTTTTGGTCAATTGTCTTGAGGAGGCCTCACTTTGGGGTCCTTGACATCCCCAGTGGACCATTCATAATGTTCTGTACTGCAAACATTTCAGTACCTGTCATCTTCAAGAGTATCTGACATGGGCCGTAGAATGGCAGCAGAGTATCTGTATGAAAGTCCAGAAGCTAGTGGTGGTCAGGACAGGAGGTAAATGGTTAGAATTATCCAAAGACATTCCGAGATCAGGGCAGGCTGCAGTGAAACCAAACTCAGAAAGAGTCTGAGGTCAGGGCAGGCAGCAGAGAAGCATAATACAGAAAAAGTCTGAGGTCAGGGCAGGCAGCAGAGAAGTGTAATCCAGCAAGAGTCTGAGGTCAGGGCAGGCAGCAGAGAAGCATAATCCACAAAGAGTCCAAGGTCAGTTCAGGCAGCAGAGAAGCATAATCCAGAAGAGTCTGAGGTCAGGGCAGGCAGCAGAGAAGCATAGTCCACAAAGAGTCCAAGGTCAGGGCAGGCAGCAGAGAATCCAGATTGATAATCCAGATTGAGTTCAATGTCAGGGCAGTCAGCAGAGAAGCATAATCCAGCAAGAGTCTGAGGTCAGGGCAGGCAACAGAGAAGCATAAACCCAGATTGAGTCAGGCAGCAGATCAGGGCAGGCAGCAGAGAGAGCATAATCCAGCAAGAGTCTGAGGTCAGGACAGGCAACAGAGAAGCAAAATCCAGAAGGAGTCTGAGATCAGGGCAGGCAGCAGAGAAGCTTAATCCATTAATCCACAATGAGTCTGAGATCAGGACTGACAGCAGAAAAGCGTAATACAGAAAGAGTCTGAGATCAGGACAGGCAGCAGAGAATTGTAATCCAGAAAGAATGTGAGGTCAGGGAAGGAAAAAAAAAGAAAAACAGCTTGAGGTCAGGGCAGGCAGCAGAGAAGTGCAATCCAGAAAGAGTGAGAGGTCTGGGCAGGTGGCAGAGAAGTGTAATCCAGAAAGAGTGAGAGGTCTGGGCAGGTGGCAGAAAAGCATTATCTAGAAGCAGTCCAAGCTACACTGGGGTTTTGGACCCATGACTTTATTCTTCACAATTGCCGTTTTACACGCTTGGCTACAGACAAAATCCGCTTGGATCCCTTCGATCATCAGTGATCTGGACCAGCTACCTGACAGTGACAACAATGGACCATGCCTGTGCAACCCGTGTTACCACGGCCGATTTTAGTCACCACCAAGGGGGTCATGTGACTGGGTGACAACACAGGAGCACAATTGGACGACAGTGAAGGAGCGTTGTCACCATATAACAGGAAGTGCCTGAACAAGAACCTTCTTGGCTAGCTCACCGGGGATTTAAAAAAATGACACGGTCAAATTTTTCTGAGATTTTAGTCGTTGGTTTTAGATTTTAAGTACGTCGATATAAACAGCTTTGGTGCCTCGACCCACATAATGGGATTTAGC